ATTTCCAGCTTTGCAGCTTTTTTTTCCTGTTGCATTTGCTAAAACTTTCAGCCCTCACAGCCACTTTCCTGTCTGCTGGCAGGGCTGCTGCCAACTTAAATGAACGTTACGGAAAGGCCTGTCTTCGTTTTTGGAAGGCAGCTGGTTTCCATTTGAAATCATAAGGGCTAAATTAAAAATAAAAGTTTCTTTGACTTTTTTTTTTTTTTTTTAAATACAAGTTATGAGAAGTGAAAGGATAACATCTGCACCCACTCTGCAAAGCCTCCTTCTGCTTTGGGTAAAGAAGTTTATCGAGGCCCAGACCTGAAGACTGATCCTTTAAAGAGCAAATGGAACCAAAATACGGATTTGTTTGTGCTGGACATGACTATTCAGCCTAGCAAAATTTAAACAAAGCCATGAAAATCTCGTGGCCTGGTGACAAAAAAAAAAGCCTTTTATCCCTCCTAGCATAATGACAGTGGAGACAAGACCCCTTATTTATATTTCATCCACTGAACTTATCAAACCCTCAATTTTTCACTACTAAATGCAGTTTAGCGAGGCAGTGTTATTTATGCAAATAAACACAAATCAGTGCAATAATACACAACTGGCTATGGTGCTTTAAATATTACAAAAGGCTAACACTGACTCCGCTTGATAACTGAGACAACTCACAGCAGACCAAACACACCTAACCACCCTGATTCTCCTGCCGTGTCTATGGCTGCGGTGCCCGAGCACTCTCCAGTGGTAAATCAAACCAGGGAACATCACCACATCACACACAGCTCCTGCTCCATCCCTCACTGAATGGGAACTGGACGGCAAAAGCCGGTGCCTCGTATTTTGCGGTAGCGGAACGAAGGAAACATTTGCGTTCGGACTGAAAGGAGAGTGAAGGAGCCTTAACGCAACAGCGGGTTACAGCCTGGAGCAGTCCCCGGACTCAACAGGTTTGTGGTCTCAAGCTTTAGGAGAGTTTTAGGAATAATAAGGACCCATCTTTACACCCCTCCCTGCCCAGTGACCGAGGGACTGGGCCTGTGGAAGCACATGCCCATGTTCTTTCAAGACTGATGTACACATAGCATGCCGTGTTCGCACCACCAACCAAGCGTAATAAACTTTGTTTTAATTATTTAATTATTTATAGCATAACCAGCAAGAACAGTCCAAGAACTTTTACATCTCCTATTCAAGAACCCAATTTATAAGCTATGTAGAAAGCACATTTTTAAAAAAAAACCACCTTACTTGGCTCAGAAGAGTGCTATAGTTGAGATCTGAAATTCTGTGCATGACTATCCCTTTATGGCAAAACAAGGTATTAAATATGATGAGAATTTCTCAGTGATTTCCCTAGTCTGTCTCTTTCTAACAGCCCCAAACCCTGAAACCGAGAGCAACAAGTGAGGGCCGAGGGCATCCACCTTTTGTTTTAAATGGAGGCAAAGGACTTTGTTAAACAAAAGCAGAAGTCAAGAGCTTCTAGTATTTGTACAACAGCTCTTTTACAGTCATTAACTACTGCTTATTTTCCCAACCATGCAGAACTGTAATTCAACGCCAGGCACGCATACTTCATTTAGCACACATCTTTGCTGTGTTGGTACAAGCAAGAAACATTCTTTATTAAACTCAACACCAGTTATGGGCAGTAACTGCTGAGAAAACCTATATAAGTTTTTTTTAACACACTACACACACAAAGTCGCAGCTTTTCTTCCAGAAAGCTTTTGGCAAACAGTCTCTCAAGGTTCACCCCGCATGAAAAGCTGAGGTGGTTTTTCAGCGTTGGTGCAACTGCTGCTGTGCTCCTGATGGATTAGGTTGAAGAGTGCAGGTGATCTCATGTCGTCTAATCGTCCTCAGAGCTCAGCCACTGCCCAGATGCTAGAGAAAGTTCACGTTTTTCTAGACGGGGAAAACTAACATCATTGCTACTCTGAAATCAACAGTTTCTCAGTTACCATTGGAGATGGTCAGCAGGTAGGTTTCTTCCATCTTTGCCTCACTTTTAAAATGCTTCGAGGGCCATTTAATCCCCAGGAGAGGCTCTACCTGCTTTCTGTGCACGATGCCTTTTCATATGAGCGTTCCTACCTTTTACCGTGTCAAACACCCTGCGAGTCAGAAAACAAACAGATTTTTTTTTTAATTCCTTTTTTTAGTTCGATAAAGACCGTTAAACCAAGCTTCATTATTTCTACTTTTGTGAACTTCTGCATATTGTGATGTGTGCTGTGACACAGTTCCCTTGTTTTGTTCCGCCAGTACCCCTGGCTGCAGTGAACACTGGTGTTTAAACAAGACAGATGTTTGGGCTGAAAGTCAAACAAAACTGCAAGAAGGCCAAGGGGCAGAGGTAATCCTCAAACTGCCCTTAGCTCCGCTCCCCCTCTGCCCCCTGGGTGGCTTTAGAAGTTTAAATCTGTTTTAGCCAAAAGCAGCGGGTTTCTAGAAGAAAGATGAACACCTTTTGCACACTTTGCACGGAAATACACTCTGCTGGTCTGCACTTCCAGCCTGCTGTGGAGACTCATTCAGATCGCAGGATGGACTGCCTTCGCTGCGGGGCATCCTTTTATAACTCTTCTGCTTTATCGTCGTGCTTTCCTTAGACACAGAACGGCGCCTCTTCTTTGGGCTGCCAACAGCCTGTAAATCAGAGAGCCTTTATTAATTCTCCCTTCTCTTCAGAAAGGTGGATAGCTAGAGTAAAAAAACCCACTAGCTTGAAAAATCTCTGACTGGCCCAGGAAATTAGATTGTATTCATTACAGCCAGCACAAAAATGTATCAGCCCAAGTCTGCCCAGGTGAACTCCTCTGAAATAGCCAAAAAACCACTTTAATTCCACTGTAAGGATAGGGGGGCAAACACAGGCCTTGGAAGAAAAACCCTATTATTTATACTACTGTAAGTGGAATAGCGCTTTCCTCCACAAAAGTCTATACAACAGGTTTAAAATGCAGAATTAAGCACTGAAGATACACCGTTACCCAGTTTCTACAAAAAAAAAAAAATTAAAAAAAAATTCTGTAAACCAAATCCCTGTTTACTGGCAAGGAATGTTTTAGCAATCCCCATGCAGAGCCACGTCATCAGCAGTTCCTTTTATGTAGCACTGGGATGTGACAGAATATCCCTGAAAGTCATCAGCAACAAGTTTAATGTGATTAATGATTATTAATGTTAGTAATAAGTTGGGAATTATCTTATTTACATCAGCAAGGGTGCCAGCACATTAAGAACAAATACTGCCTGTAACGAGTAAAAGCACATTTTAGTCATGGTGCTAATGACAAAGTACTGCTTTGTTGTTTCAAAGTTATTCTACAGAATAAGTTTATCAAAGCAGCAGCAGAATAAAACCAGAACCTCTCCCTGGACAGCATCTGCTGCACCTTTCAAGAGCATCAGAAGATGTTTTCCATACGGAGTGGCATCGAGCACAAATCCCCAGCAGTTTTCCTACCTTTTCTTCAGTCTCTTCCATCTCATACTTGACTCTCTTGACCCTTTTTCCCATTACTTGATCTCGATTGAGGCGAAATGCCCTTTTTTTTTTGCAGGTGTAGTAATATTCAACACACTGGGACACACTCTTAGTCTGAATCTATTGTGAGAGAAACAGAAGCAATCTATAATGGAAATACTGTAGTAAAACATTTAAGGCACAGATACACAACAAATCTATCTAGCACAGTTTGTCCTTCCCCCGTTCTCTCCAGTTATCACACTGCAACGTGCCATGGAAGCTCCAGCATATGGACAGGTGAGATCAGACAGAAAACAAACTTTCCTCTTCTGAACAGGCTGTAAACAAGTGCTGGAAGGGCAGAACTGTACGTTTCACACAGGCAGTCAGCATAATGTTTCATTATTATTTTACTATCTCCGGTATTTTGTACCAGAAATACTAAATATTCTGTTGTAATGATACATTAGGGGAAATAATGTCTTGTACTGGTGTCTTTTTAGCATTAAGAAGCGAACACTAGGTTTCAGAGAACAGGATTCCAACGCACAATTCAAAATACAACTTTCTGGGTTAAAACTGTCAACACATCAGTCTAATGGCTTTACCTGCTTCTGTATCAGGTGAAAATCCTTCTTGTGTACGCGAAAAGCCTTTCTAAACAACTCCTTCTCAAGAGGTGTCCAAGTATCTGAACCTGGTAATAAACAGCAACATGCAAATTATTTGATCACTCGCAGCCTAACGGAAATCAGCACAATTTATTATTCACATATTGACATCTCTCCTCCTTCCGAAAGCAATTACCAAATGCAGAAGTGAATTCGTTAGCAACAATAGTTATTACTGCCAGCAGATAAGCCCTGCATGCTGTGAAGCCCGGGCACAACTGAAAGGAAGAGCGTATGGCAATGAGTATTTGGCATTGCCACATTTCAGCGTGCTGCTTCTGTTGGGTGTCACTGCAGGGCAGCACACATTAAAGCAGCGGGCTGAAACACAAGAACAAGGCATTCCCCATGTAAAAAAGCACCGTAAACAGCTTAAAACTGAAGCGCTTTGCTACCACTTTCCCCACCCCAAAGAACACAAATTGGTTTTCGCACTTTTTTTTTTAAATAAATTCCTTAAATCAGAATACAGAAAGGCAACTGCAATATCTATCAGCATTCCAGCTGAAGGAACAAGCTCTACTTCCAGTTTACCTGTGTAATGATAATTAGCCAGAGGATGGGATTCAGATTTCTGAGGCCCACCAGAAAGCAGCATCTCCAGAGCCTCCTGCAAGATTTCATGTAAAAAGACATTAGATTCCCCCCCACAAGGGGCAAAAAGATAAATTCCTGCTTTCAGCTATTTTGCTACTTCAGTGAATCAATCCACTGTAGGAAGATTTTGCTCGTACTGGTCAATGCTTAGCAACAGCACTTTGGGATCCCCTCAGCCCACTGAAGTTTATGGAAATATTTCCTCAATCCACACCAAAGTGTTTTAAGAAAACAGAACCTCAGGAGATCTCTGGGGACCAAGCTATGGGGCCCTACCTGCCACCACCTACAGGAGAAGATTTCTCTCTGCTGGAAACATTTTCAGCTCATCCCTGCTGCAGCAGGCGTGCTTGTAGAGCCTCCTTGTGGAGACACAGCATACACCGAGTCCTCTGCTGTATTTCTTAAATCCCTTCTTCAAAGGACACCGAGCAAAGTAGACTTACTTGGGGCTTAAGTCAGGACCAGGCTGGAGGCGCTTGCCCAGCAAGGAGTGCCTAGGGCTGTTGCAGTTGTCAAGCACAGAATGCTCATCTAGAGCAGACCTTGGGTTTTACCTACACGGCAATTCCTTCACTCCTAGCATTCGGGGTAGTAATACTTATATTCTCCAAATCACCACATAATTTACAAGAGAGAAAACAAGATCTTATTTATACACCAGGACAGGGTCTGCAGTCCCAAGGGATGTTAACACAGACTGTGGCAACAGGCAGCATGCAAGAACTCAGCACATTTAACAAAGAGACCAGACTCCAGCCTGCGGAATAGAAAACTCAGAGCAACTCCCAGCTCACGCCAGTGGCAAGGCTGTCCTAGTCCGTTATTAATTATGGCCCAATAGCTGCTTCTTACCATAACGTTGCCTCGTGCTTCATGCAGGCAATGCAAGGCTAGCTCTAGGTTCGTTCCTCCCCCCGGCATGACACTGGAGCAGGCCAGCTTGAGCAGTTCTGTTACTACAAATGCAATGAAAACCAACAGGAAGTCAGCTTCTGTCAAGGAAAGAGAAAAGATACGATACAAGACAGAGGGAAAATAGAACAAGTGCAACAGACAGACTGGAGACCGAGAAAAGACACAGGAAGAAGTCAGGTGTTGCAACTACCCGGGTATTGCTGAGCTTTGGGACCGATAACTCCAGAGACAAACCTCCCCTCTTCTAAGGTCGCTGCAGATGAGGTGGGACAGCTACAAACACCCCTGGCCATTTTATACGGAAAATGCTACTAAGAGCGTAACAGTTATTATTTGTTCACTGTTCTACTAGAACTGAGCTATCTCCTTTCCTCTAATGCAACTGCATGTGAAGGTGGTCAAGAAAAGATGGGAGATAACTTGAACATACAAAAAGCTGCTGTGAAAACATGGACTTTTTGAACCCTCGTATCTTGGGGGTGGCCTTGAAAGAAAAGTGTTAAAGAAACCTCTGTCCTGTGTTTCCGGGTTAGTTGCCATGTCTCCCCAGGGCTTCCACACCAATGATGCTGGCTCTTCAGCCTCCTCCAAATCCGATCTATCCCGGAGGTCTGGCAACTCTGCCTGAAATTGACTTCCAATGTTGATGCGTCTAAAGTCATAAGAAAGAGGAGGGGAGGAAGGCAAGTTGCGAACAGATACATCATGATAACACGCAGCACTACCAATACACACGCTTATCAATACACATACGCTTAGGAAGAGGGGGTATGGGATGAGCAAGGCTCAGCTGTAATAAACACGGTATGCATACAACACACATTTCCCAGCAAAGCATTACAAGCTCTCCTCCTCTAACAACTTTCAGAGCCACTACTTAGCACTAACTCCATCACCACGCCACCCGTGGAATTCTTCTGTCTCCAATCAATCAAGAAAGTTTGTTCTCTCTCCCTCAAAACCTGACAAAATTTGTCAGGTTCACTCTGAGACTCATAGCGAGCAGCCAAGAGGAGAGAAGTCTGCAACCATGGAGAAAAAAGAATGTTTGAACATCATGTAGAATGTTGGGGGCAGGCACCTTTATGACATCAGCCTAACCTGTATTTCACTGCGACAGCACTGGGCATTTTGTTGCAACTTCATTCTGGCCAGCACGTGGTATCACCCGGCCAAAACCCACTATTAATCTCACCAGTGATGCAGGACAGCGAGAGAACTGGCCAAGCAATAGGATTGTGGGAAGGAGGTCAATGTCAACTTTGAAGGCCTGTATGGCCCATGCGCTTGAACCAACCACACACTGACTCCTAAACTGACATTCCCGCATCCCCCATTTTCAAAATGTTTGTCGTTATTCTAATTGCTATGCCATAACTCACGGCTGAATGCTGATTTTTGTGTTGTCCTTCATCAGACAAAATCCAAAGTCCCTGTCCATTCTGCCTGAAAGATACAAAAAAATGCTCAAGATAAAAACCATCCTGCCGAGACCATCCTTTAGCCTTCCTTCACATCCTCACCATCGCAAACCACTAACTATTCTCTCAGAATTCCCCTCATTTCAGTGAAATTGCTCACTTTTTGACTTGGAAGCTCTCTACAAACACCATCCAGGTACACTTTCACAGCTGTGTCTGACCACGGGTCAGAAGTCAGCCACACAGGGATTGAGCAGTTCTGTATTTTTTAATAAGTGAAAGCCAGTAACAGAGCAAAACCCTGGTAGGCTGTTGACATCCCCTCTTCCACAACCAGAATAACAAAGTAGAAGTCACAAACTTCTGGTTTTTTAAAGCCTCCTTTGGAAGGCATGAGCAGAGCCGGGGCCTGTCCATATTTGTCAGCAGAGCTCCGTAAATCAGCTGCAGTCTCTGAATAACTACAGATGACAAACCATCGAGCAGAAGCCAAACCCAGAGGAAAACTGCTTTCACTGGGCTGCTGCCTTTGCCACACAGGTGCCCACCCTAGCTTCTTCTGCAGTTTTACGACAGCGACTGTTCTGGTGTAACCACTATGTATTTTTAATTAAGATAAATTTTAACCACAAACTGGTACAATAAAATCATGTCATCAGTTTACGAGTAACTTAAACTGCTACATGTAAACGTCCGTACTTCCACTGGCCTCCATACGATGCAGTAATTTATCATACAGGAAGGTGGATACCATTTGAATTTATAACCCATCTTGAAGAAAATGACTGTGGGTCAATTTTCTCTTTCTGTAGTCTGTATAACAGTCTGCTGGATTCCTTGCCAGTTCCATGATCTGTTGAGTGCAGACATTAGGATTTTATTACCTAAACCAGCACTGAACAGCTGGTTGGGATCACCGCTAGCAGAGGAAGAACAGCAAGTGCTGAAATAGAGGCCTGATCCTTCCCGCATGGGGCTGAGCATCGGAGGCGGCGTGTAAGGAGAGGACTGGAACAAGTCGCTCAGGAGATGATCCACCAGAAACACAGGCGAACGAAGGTTACTCTGGTAACACCCTCCCACCCCCGGCTGGGCTTCAGGGACCAGCGGAGGTGGGATAAAAAGCGATTTTGGCCGCATTTGCCTCTTTCTCTTTTTCTGGTGCAAGCTTTCCTTGAGGTCCTTCCCATCTGGGCTTTCCTTTTCAGTAACCTGGACAAACAATTCCAAACAAACCATCAAATCCCTGTTTATCACAGAAGAGAAGGGAAACAAGTTCAAGGCACTTGAAAAACATATAGAAGAAAGTTTGAAGTTGCATAGGATTTTTATCTGGTTTCCCTCTAGACTGTCTGTGTCATGACTTATTATTCTGAGCTCCATAATGAACACCAAATTCCAAAACTTGTGCGCGGAGTGCAGTCAGAGGACCCTCTGCTCTAGTCCTTACTCATGTATACGGCTCTGGGGAAGCCAGACACACTCATGAGAACAAGACCTGTTGAAAAGAACCCTCCACAAGTTTTTTTATAGTCAGAGAGAGTGCTGAAAGGAAAAAAAAGTAAATTCTGAAATCATCTTGAAATTCTTTAAATTGCCTAGTAAAATTCCAAGGGTTTTCCTAGGTTTTAATACCAAGTGTCTGTCCTGCATCATACTGTTAATACTTCTGACGTCATCTTTTATTTTCATGCAACTCAAGGTGATTAACAGGTTACATATTTCCAGGAAATTACTCAGACGGACCCTGGAACCTTCACCAAGTCCATTACTGTAGTAATTACCACCAAATCCATTACTGCAGCATTATTTGAATAGAATTTGGGGGATTTAAGGGAGCCATCACCCTAAGCTGCTGGCTAAGCCAGTGAGACTCGCACACTGGTGACCAGTTGCTCAAGGAAGCGACTCCAGCAAAGCCAGCTGAGGTGTTTTTGCTAATTCATTAAAATGCTTGAGGAATGCAGTCACCACCCACCTCGCTCCCTGCTTGCGAGTTCACAGCCATCACTGGTACAGAGACAGGAATCACCAGAGGAGCCACTGTTAGGTCCTCTAAAGGCATCTCAGGTTTTGAGGGACAGTTTCCATCTCCTGCTGCCTTGAGCGTCAGTTTCTGAGCATTTACGTCTCCTGCATCACACACCTTACCGCAAACACAAACAAGGGTATGAGGTGTATCTTCTGGCATTGGCCATCTGAGGACATCAAAGTGCTTTGCAAACTATTCTTTCAAGTCACTTCTGATCCGTTTCTCCCTTACATAAAATAATGATGATGATAACAAGAGCTACTACGCTGAGTAAGTTTCTCTAAGCACAACATAATTCAGCAAGAGCCCAGAACAGGAGTCCTTATCGCACCAATCCCATATTCTTGCTTTTACAAAACTGAGCTCCCAAGTTCACACTATCAGCTAGAATAGTCAGGCTTACGTTTTTTCAGTCACGCTTCACAGCTGTGGAGTACGAAACATTGCTGGAAATAGCTGCAGCTTTCCAAACAGCACAATTATTCAAGAATATCCACTACGTAACACCCACCCAAAGGGCTTCAACGGCACCATGATTCTGGATCCCACTCCTACAGTGATCTGAATTTTCAAGACAAAGTTTCAGTTGGCTCCACAGCTTTTATCTCCATACACTACAGGCAGGTTTTAAAGAATCCTCATGACCTTAATTCAAATTCCTGTTAAATAAGCAGCACTGAAGGATTCTGTTTCTCCTTACCTGCTGTTCTTCCTTCCTTTGTGGTAAATGCCATTGTTCACTATGAAGACACCTATGGCTCTCCAGACCATTCTCAGTATAGAACAGCTGACCGCAGTTCTTGTGGAGAAAGCCACTTTCGCAGCTGCTGCCGTCAGCAGGAGCAGCACCAGTCTTATTGCTAAGTGAAAAATCGAGATAAAGGGATGGAAAATGAACATTATAAAGTTGAACCACTTAAAAAAAAAAATTAATCACTATCAACTTTAGATCCGTGCTCGCATTTCCTGCTGTAGAGCTCATTTCATGTCTAGTTGGGAAATCTCTGCAGCTCATTTAGCAGCAAAAGATGTTAACTAGAGAAAAATCCCCAGTGGGACATCAATCACCAGCATTATAACGATACAGCTTTAAAAAAGAGATGCGGTTAAGATACAATGCATGTAGCTGCTCAAAAGAGAAGGTACCTATTACCACATACGTACAAATACTATTTTCACAGTTATATACATGGCTTTTTAACTGTGACACCAAAAAAGAATGACCCGCATTAAAAACTCCAGAAGCATTTTTTTTCAATACCATGCATTTCATGCACCGTGGCATTTCTGAAAGATCCGCTTTTGTGAATGGAAAAATGTATCATCTGTGGATAACTCCCCCTTGTGAATTCAGGTTTCGGAAAGATGACGTTGGAAGTCCTGCAGACCCATTTCTCTATCCACATGATGAAGACAGCAAATGAAGTTAAAGCTTCCCAGCACACCATACTTACTGCCTGGCCATTCCTATAGCCCGGCTAATCCTCAGAACCTCTTCCAACACAGAAACAGAGAACCAGGCAGACCACCAAGGCCGGCTGGAGCAGGTAATTGTTTTCACGTGGCTCACCAGGCACCACAACTTCCATTTGTTGCCAAAAAACAATGAAATTCTTCTTTCTCGATGAGACAGCAGCTCCCTTACCTGTGACGGTTAGCAACACTACAGAAAAGGCACCTCTTCCGAGGCTGCGTGGGGACTTCACTGCTGCTCACAAGGACGTGGATTATAAAAAGCCCTTTTTTTCCGGGGAGCCGCTTGCCTTCTCATTTAGTAAATGGCAAGCTGTCGAGGCTGGGCAGTAAGGTGGCAGAGCCATGATTTGCTTACAGAGAAAATACCACACGTGTGCAATCCCTGCACCAAAGGAAAGCGGCAATTACCAAAGAAGAGGGAAGTATGTGAATCTTCTTCAGCAAAGAGAACCAAGTCACAAACTCACTCTAAAAAATTATTAATCATAAAGTTAGCTAATCACTTTTAAAAACTAAATTCAGGGCCTGCCTCCATGATTACAATGCAATAATACTCTTTACAGGCAGACTACCCTCCAGGAATGAGATTGAGAGTGAAGCCCATACCCCACCAATCACCTGGAAACCCTTTGACAAGGTGAATCCTTTAACATTATCCCACATTTCCATTTCTTTACCTCCGTGGTGAACTTTTGGTCTTTTATCATTGTAATGTGTGAAAAGAACAAGGCCAGTCATTCCTTATTACATCCTTAAACAGTCTGCAACGTTTCACTCAGGTTACCTCCCTGTCACACTTCAGTCGCTGCACGACTTTTACAATCAAGAGTTAGAAATTAGGTTGAGAGTCCTGTGGTTCTCATTTAAACATCTATTAATTAGCACAATCTAAAGGTAGCCAAATGAAAAGGCTATGTTAAATCTCAACCCCGAGGGAAATGCACCTGACTAGGTGCTAAAACGCGCTCCAGAAAACAAACGCCACCCTCAACACTTTAGTGCAACCTGCTTACCACCCAGCTGGCAAGTCTTCTTCCTTTGCTGCATTAGTAAGTCTGTAAATATTTCCACCCTGCAGGTAAAGAAACAATAATCAAAAGCAGATGTTATTCTGCCTGCAAGTAAAGCTTTAAAATACAGTCATTCCACCTTCAAAAAAAATAAAAGGAACATCTGAACTGTTTTCTCCATGAAAATAATGCTTTGCACTTGCACAGCAAAGCAATGCTTATTAACCAATCCCATAAATCTTTGCAGTCATTAGTAAATACTCCTCGTAACACTTAGATACATGCATCCACATGGCAAGCACAGGTGCAAATAGGAATTCCCGTTTACACGGTGTGGCTATCAAACTGCATAATTTCCATCACAAGCTGCATGCAGCGGGTGGGGGGGCCACGCTCTGATTCCTCAGCCACGCACGGTTCCTGTGCCACATGCCCAGATCCAGAGATGCAGGGAGGGCTGGAGCACCCCGATCTCCGGCTGCCACGGGCATCAGCTCTGCTAACACCACACTGCTGGGTCAACACCAGGAGCGCTGGAGCAGGACAGGGATTTGCTCATACCCCATGTATCACCCAGGCTCCCCAAAATCTCCTGGAGTTAGAGGGAAGCAAATCTAAGACTCCCCTGAGCCCTTGGATTTCTCACCTTGACTGCTTAAGTAACACCTGGGGCACAGAGAGCCTTTGTAAGTAGTCAGAAAGGGAACACGAGCAGCAAAGAATGGGTTTAACCTCAGTGTGTTCGAAGTTCCCCATCCTGAGGGCTGCCAGTCCCCTTGGCCTAACACACAAGGCACCAGCAACTCCCTCGGGATAGGGCAAGACATGCGTGTAAGCCTGACATGCCACTAAGAATGAAAAAGCACTTAAACCAACCCCGAACTTTGGAGATATTTAGTCTCCAACACAGCCGCAGCACATTTATCTGTAACGCAAGAGCTTCCACATCTACCCTCAATTAACATATTTTGACTTTGACCTCCAGGGACTGATCTCTAAAAGTAAGAAGTTTGTTTAGGTTGACCTCCCTGCCCTCCTGCGGGCAAAGAGACACCAATTATTTCCACTGGAGAAAGCGGTTCCCCTTCCACAGGCACGGAGCTTGCTGAACATTCAGGCATTCACAGCTTTTTGTTATCACTGGCCTGTGCACAAGCTCGACCAAGAAGCCAGGTGAAAGGCTATGCATCACGTTACTAAATATCCCAAGCCCCGATCTTGTTAAATTATTTCTAAACCTTTAGCACCGGATTAATTAGTGTTTTCAGAGCGCTCTGGATGTGTCAAGTGCCATGTAAGCACTAAGTACTGTTACTGGTGAATCTAGAGCTGTCAAGACTAATAGAAAGCATTTATAGGAGCACAGGAAGACAGTAAACGGCTCTGAGACGTGAAGTCGAATAACAGGCGGCTAAATGTGAAGAAAAAGCACGCCGACATACTTGAATCCTGTTGAAAATGGTCAGCCGGCGCGTCCCGCTGGCCGCAGGAGCTGAAGAGAAGGACGCCATGGCCACCTGACTCGGAGGAGCTGCGCCGCTTAGCCCCAGTGTCAGTGTCTCTCTGCGGATGGCAGGCAGACACCAAGACCAGGCAGCACCTACTGGCGGCTTCCCGCCTGTCTCTGCGCTACCAACTTTACTCTCAAGTGCAGAAGCCTTGTTTTCTAGCTGATTCAACCTCCCAGAAGAGTGGCTTCCTGCCATGCTTCCAGGCACCGCATACTGGGGCTGACTAGGAACAGACGAGTCTCTTAATCCCAGGTATTCTTTCAAGGGTGCTGGCTGCAGTCCTTGTTTCTCCCTGCCTGACAAAATGCCCTGGAACTGGGGGATGGCCTTTTGGAGGTATGTGGAAGGCCCCTCGTACTCCGTCGGCTGCAGAAGCTGGGGAGCCAAGGCAGACTGCTGCTGAAACCCGGCTTGGAGGGGGTTTGCTGCCGAGTGCTCAGACTCAGGAGGGCAAGACAGGACCTGCTGAGACTTGGGGGTCACCTGAAAGAAGTGCTGCTGCACCTGCAGTGGTTCTAGGCACGCAGCAGTTTCCTGGGCTTTCAAGAAGAGCTGTCCGGTCTTGCTCTGCAGCGTGCTGCACTTCTGAACCTCTGGAAAACTCAACTCCCTGGCATTCTCCCACGGATGGGAGTTGTGGGTTTTCGCCAACTGAAAGGCTTCCTCAAAACAAGGGAGTGCTGACTTGCTCGGTGCGTCCTCTTCAGCTTTAAAAGGCGCAATGGGGAAAGACAAAGCATCTGGACACTCGTACGCAGCTGAGAACGTGCAGGAAGGTCCAGCTAACTCCTCTGAAACACCCTGCACTGCAACAGGTGACTTGTGAGCGAGGCAGACGTTATTCCTTTTGGGTTTAGTGCAAACTGGCACGTTTCTTATCCACTGAAAGTTACTGCTCGACTGGTGTGCAGGCAGCTTCTGCCCTCTGAACACAGGAAAACAAGGCAGGGTGCTGCTGGGACAACACTGCAGCCCCGCAGGCTCTGAGGGGAGCGGAGCTTCTGAAATAAAAGACCTACTGGTCAGATTGGTAACTACATTCTTGCCCGGTGCAATCATGGAGACGTTGCCAGAATTTATTACGGCACAGATGTTGGAAGAAGGGGCACTCTGTTGGCATGAGAGGCAATCCTTCGACATATTGTCACCTGCAGCCTCTGAAAGTCCACTGCTGTTAGATGCAAGGCAAGAGGCCTGGCTGGCTGGGGAGGAATCTGGCAAGGCAGAAACCACCTGCTCTGCAGAGGGCAAGGCAGCCAAGGGAAGCTTCTGATTTGCAAAGCTGTTCACAGCACACCTCAGCAGGTTGCTTTTGGGTGGGAAAGAGCCTGACTCGGAGCATGCAGTCAGGCCATCCACCGATTTCCCACTGCCTTGCATATACGGACTTGGAAGAAGCGGGGATTGCTCCCTGGCACCCTCCTTAGGAGGCTCCTTCAAGCTGCACAAGCTGTGCTGCAGTTCGTAATGCCGGCGCAGCGAACGGTGATCACAGTAACTCTTATTGCAGTCTCGTTCCAAGCACACGAAAGGTTTTATTTTCTGATGCACCAACATGTGCCCACTCCTGCAGGGATCAAGAGAAGAAAACATTGCGTATTAACAGTCCCAACTGAAAAAGGAAGTCATTTTGCACTGAGCTACTGCAGCTCTTGCACTCCTTTTACTTAGTATTGTTCTACTCAAGGCAGGACCTAATCAAAGCAGAATTTGGCCTCTATTCAGAAAAGGTTCACTTAAGTGCCCTCCAACTCCTCTTCCCACTGGGCCATGAAGAATCCTGCGTGCTCTGTCACCATTGCTGGTGTTTCTCTCCAGAAACACTCTGACATTCTCCCCAAATGCTGGAGGATGTCTCCAGCCTATCGGCCCCCCATGCTCAGCAAGGATGAAGCAAATCAGAACACAGTTCAAAAGGGATCTCAGCACAAGCTCTACCTGCGAGTGCGCACAGTAATGCCAGTCAGCACAAGCTAAAGGCTGTTGACAATTCTCTTTTGTTTTAGAGTAGAAAACGACAGAGTCGAAATCAGTAGAGAGACAGAAAAAATTAGGCAGGCATGTTACCTAAACCAACGGGAAACCAACTGTAAAACTGCAGACTGTCACTTCATAAAGGCACATTTTAGGACAGAATTTGTTGGCAACTGCTCCAGTCTGACACAAAGCAAAACGGTGTTTTACTTAGCCCCAGAGTACCACTGCCAAAAATCGGACCTACGATAACCAGCTGGTGTTTTGAGAGCTTTCCAGGATTAGTAATAAAAGCTTTACAGCACCAGGAAGCATAGGATTCCAGGCAGCGGTTGCATCTACAAGCAATCTTTTGCAAGAGTTCCTAAAGCAGCAGCTGCCAAAAATCGGAAGTTGCCTCTCCAGTACAAACACCTTCCACACGATTTCCCCCATGCCAGTCATCAGACAAGAAAAAAAAAAAAAAAAAGACTAGCTGCTATTGTAGGGCTTGGTATTACAGATTTTTCTGCAGCTGGGCAGAAATACAACTTTGGGGGCTTTTCCTGCACCAGCCCACTCTGGAATACTCAAAGCTAATTTGCATCTGCTAGGGAAGTCGTTTTGTGACCTAACTTCACAGCGTTTGCTAGCCTTAAAACATGACAAAGACTAACAAGCGCTGTAACTTCTGAGATTGGAAAATAAAGTACTGCAGAAGCCAATCTTATTTACGTTTGGTAAACAAGGCCACATTTTTAACAGCGAATGCCTACGTACAGGCGGTCCGGCCGTTTAAAGGCTTTGCTGCAGATGGTACAGACGTGTTCCCTTTTCTGGCTGTGAGTCAGGCAGTGTTTGCTGAGAGCGCTGGCACTGCTGAACACCTTCCCGCAGTGGCTGCAGCCCGGCAGCGAGGTCCGAGGAGAGCTGAGGGGACGCTCTCCTCTCCCTGCAGATCTGCCTCCTCCTCTAGGCTTCTCTGGTGCCATCGGCGTGGGAAGCCCCAGCTCTGAAGGGAGGGAGAAAGCGATATCCTGAGCTTGCTCTTGCGATGACGTGCTTCTCAATTAGTATTAATAAATATGTCTCTTTCTAAAACACTTCTGTTAGAGGGCTCCGGCCCGTGGGTTTTGATGACTGAATATCCACACAAAAACGAGTAGGGAAGTCCCACAAACCTGCTCCACCTCTTATGAACTGCATCTCTGGAGTTACTTTATTTCTGAGGTCTCCACAAACACCTAAACCCATGTCCCACCGTCACACCATTTGCCATTTTGACCATCGTTGTAACTAACTTTACCATTTTCCCCTTTTTCTTGGGAAAAGAGGGAGGGAATGAGACAACTCCAAACCCCTTTGTTCAAGGTATTTTATCTACAGCAATTTGACTAGGTGATAACCCAGGCATTTCCTGCTGGATTGGACTTTGGGAGACAATTCAAGGTTCCCTACCCACAAAATGAGCCATTAGGACCTGTTATTAACTGGCAAATCAGTAGAAATGCAGGTCTCAGTTGTTAGGAGAAAGTCTCATTTTCTAACGCTGCTAGTTACAAATTTTCACTTGCTTTGTTTTCAAGCTACCCAAACAGGGCGTGCTTTTATATACATTAGCAATTAAGTTATCCATTCCCTCTAGAAGAGCATTTTACTAAAGGCAGGCCTAGAAAAATCCCATTCTGCTTAATCCATTTCACAGAGACTTTGAAATGCGAAAAGAATTAAACAGCATGTCTCTTCTCCGCTTCAGGGAAAGCCAGTAATATAGATGTTTGCAACATATTTAGCAAATCTATCATTTTAATGCCTTTACATTTTCCATTTCCAGCTGGAGGGCAGGTTGCAAGGACTCTTGAAAAAAAGCTCCAAACAAACATATTCCTGTCTAGGGTATAATTTTAAGAAAATAGGACAGAACTGAAATTCCTGTGAAAGAAAGGCGTTTTAATTGTTATATCATCTTCTACAGCCTTATCAATCTGAATGCCGTTTTACAGGCAAGAGGCAACAAGAAACACTTTTGAAGTGCTTAAACTACAAGAACCTAGAACTGATTAAAAAAAAATCCACATGTATCCACCTCTTTACCCCAAAGATCTTTCCACATCAGGGACTCCGCCACCTATATAAAGTTACTAAATATCTCCAGCTGCTTCAATCCGTAAGACACCCTTCAAAAGAACAGAGAACACTCACCATGCTGCAAGGGCTGCGAGTGGGCCTCATCGAGGAGCTGAACAGAGGCGCAGTCCTCCACTGGATACAGAGAGAGCATGTTCAAATCGGCCTCCAGAGTGTGGCTGGCCGCATCCACGGCTGGAAGGTCAGGCACTATGTCCAAGCCACTCAGCCCCACAAACATCATGTCTTTTGCATTTAGGCACAAATCATGGTTGAGAGCCTCGCTACAGACCAGCCCCTGGCTTTCAGAAAATCCAGGGAGATGCATCTCCAAATGAACGGCGTTCCTGTTGCCAAAGAGGTACTGGTCCATGCCTGCTGCTGAATTTACGGCCAGTTAAAGGTGGACTCTCTTCCACCTAGAGCAAAACTTGAGGGCGTGAGGACAAGCCTCCTAAACAAAATGTAAGAAGGGAAAGTTAAATAAGATTTGATGTTACTCACCAAACCCTAACCAGTACCGCAACTGGCCCTGTATCAACCATACCTTATGAGAGAAGAAAACAGAAGTATCCTTATTCCCACTGCAAACACAAGGCATGCCCCTGCTGTCTGAAGCAGAGGAGGGCTGCTGAGACCCTGCAGGCAGGTTTGGAGGGCTAGGGAGACAAGTGGTTCTTATAAAAAGCTGCACTGAGAAAAAGGGTTGAAGTGTTTCCCCTACCCTGGAAGAGGCTGAGGGGCTGCAACAGGGCTGAGGTGCAGAAAGAAGGCAGGAAGGAGGGAAAGACTGCCCCTGGAGTAGAGTGGGGTTGGGGGTGAGAGGGGCATTCCCCGAGGGAAACACTCCTCCCAGACTTGCAGGAGGCTGTGGGGCCACCCTAGGGCTGGGGGTGATGAGGGGGCTTTCCCTGAGGGAAATGCTGCTCCCGGCCTTGCAGGAGGCTGCAAAGGGCCAGAACTTGGGGTGAAGGGGTCTTTCCCCAAGGGAAATGCTGCTCCCAGCCTTGTAGGAGGCTGCAAAGGGCCAGAACTTGGGGTGAGGGGGTTTTCCCTGAGGAAAACGCTGCTACCGAGGCTACAGAGGACCAGAGCTTGGGGTGAGGGCGGGCTCTCCCTGAGGAGAGCAGAGTTGGGAGGAGGGAGGCGAGAGCTGCCCCAGAGCCGGGGCTTCTCTTCGTGGGGAAGGGGGGGGGGCCCTCCAGCCGCCCGTGTGAGGCTGCCTGGGGGCCGGAGGAGGAGGAGGAGGAGGAGATGTCCCTCACCAGTGCCGCCGCCACTGCCCCTCCTGTCACCTCACAGCCCCTGCTCTTCCCGCCCGCCACCGGCGCATGCGCACCCGCCCGCCGCACCTCGTGGCGCGGCCCCGCCTTCCTCCCCGGG